CGCGTCTTGAGAAGTCTGCCAGTTTCTCCGACATAGTTGCTTTGCCCGCAACGTATTGTCCCAGCGATTGAGTCGTCTTATTCTCAATTAATTCCTGGGACTCGCGTGTTCGCTTGTATTGGCAACAAGGACTTTTATCTACCTGATGTTTCGGATCCACACTCGCGTGCGTCATCAGTGACAGTCTGGGTAATTAATGCACAATGGAGCAGTAAAACTAGGTTACAGTTGTCATTCTACCACACATCATAATTAACTGCTCACGCTTTCATGGCCGACAGTCGTATTTGGTGTAATATACTCCCTTTTCGAATAAATATTTTCAACTAAATGTGACTATGTAGAAATCAAAGTAAAAAAATCCGAGGTTGAAGGAGCGTACAGAATCAGTGGGGAATATGTCTTTCTTGCTGGCTGCTTTTTCAGAATGTATTACTCCAAGCACCAGGAAAAATCCATAACCTAGAGCAATAATTTCAGTTCAACTTGACTTTCTGTCAGTGTAATCAGTATGGCAGGCTGCTTCGATTTTATATATTTGACGCTAAATAAATACAAAAATATTTTATGTATTTTGTGTGTGAGACTGGTTGCCCACTCGTCTTCTAGTCCTTCATTTGCACGTATGAGACTGATGAATACTCAGTAACGCGCCCCATTTTCTACCCTTAAGGACACGTTAGAAGAAGAAGAAGAAAAGATCGCCATCACGTCTAAGGTATGTTGCTTTCCTTTTAACCGATGCGCTGCCGCATTTTATGCACATTTTAAAAAAAGAGTGTCTTACTTACCCGAATTTTGCTCCAAAATGACCTATCAAGTTTTTTGTGAATACACCAGTCTACGTTATCAAGCGAATTTAAACTTCTGTCCGAAACTATGTCTCCTTTTACCACTTTTTTTCCGCTAGTCCCTTTTCGTTGTCAATCATTTCGGTCTGTACATTTCTAATAATTTCTGTGTCTCAAGACCTCTTTAGCTACCGTAATTGGGGAGTTTTTTTGTAAATAACAGACATCGCCCTTCCATATCTACAACCTTGTCAGAGCTACTATGTGCTAAACATTTCTACGCATTGCTCTTTCACCTTCTTTATCTAGCTATCTCTCATCTGTGGCGTATTTTCGAATCAGTTGGCAATTGCTGTCTGTGATTTCGCTTGTAGTATGCGAAAAAGGCAGCTTTTGTCAATTTCAGTTCAAAATAAGAGGGCTTAAATTCTACTGTGTGGTAGAGTTTAGAAGTAAAAGATGCGATCGCTGGAACAAGGGTTTTATTAGCCTGACGTTTCGGATTCTGCCGAGAATCCTTAATCATAGGCAATCATAGGATAGGCTGAATCACACGCAGATAGGGGTGACACATGCACAGATTGTACACTATTTATAGTTCGTAGCGGTCACCGGCATACGCGCTATAATTATCAGTTCCTGTAACAACCGTTGGGGGTCCTGATTGGTGTGGTTATGACTTTCGAGTCATTAATTACCGCAGTTTCGTTGTCCTTGTTGGATGCGGGCTTGATAAGTGCGCGAAAATTATGTTCACCGTCACCGAAGTTGTGTTTGGGCCCGACCCGTCCCACGCGACTGGTTCTCCTGCTCAGGCAATGTCTCAGTACGGAGTATGGGAACGGCAGTTCGTTGCGCTTGTTGATTGGCTGTGCGCCTGAGAACCATGACTCGAGCAGCTCGCGACTCACGTGGTTTTTACCTCTTGCGAGGATTTCGGCCTCGTCAAACTTGAAAATGTGGCCAGGTTCCGTCGAGTTAACTGCGACCTATGGGTGAGCGTCCTTCTTCCTCACCGCTGCTGCAGGCTCGGCCATTCGCTTCCGGAGTAATCTCCTGGTTTCTTCGAGGTACTTGCTTTGTCCACAACTGCACCAGACCCGGCAAACGCGGGTAACCATTCGCTCTCAGTATCCGTCGAAAATATTTTAATTTAGTAATTTTGCCTTCCACTTAGCTGTGACGTGTCTCAACGCACCGGTAAAGCGCTCTTACGCAGCTCCGTTTGTGATTGACCGGTTCGACTCACTAATTGCCACAATTCCCTTGTCAGCGTCGGATGCGGGCCTGATAATTGCGTGACGATTATGCCCGCCGTCGTCAGAGTTGTTGCTGCGCCCGACCCTC